AGTGAGAGAGAGAGAACAGCGAGAGTGAGAGAGAGAGAACAGCGAGAGTGAGAGAGAGAGAACAGCGAGAGTGAGAGAGAGAGAACAACGAGAGTCAGAGAGAGAGAGCAGCGAGACTGAGGGAGGGAGAACAACGTGAGTAAGGGAGCGAGAACTGCGAATGGGAGAGAAAGAGAGAGTGGGGTGACAGATCCAAAGTTGATTGTGAAACTTGCTATGGCGGCCTAGTTGCAATTCCCAGATGTCTGCAAAAAAAAAAAAAAACTCACCACTGCGTGGGGTGGCTGAACTATCCATTGGCTGATGAAACGCACTGCTATGTGACACCGGTTGATTGTTGTAACTCCCTAGTCGCTAAAACGTACTGTTGAGTGATACCAATTGGCTGAATTATTMATYGASTGYTGRAACGTACTGTTGAGCGATACCAGTTGACTGTTGGAACTCCTTGCTGATCGAAGCTAATAAATTACAAAAAGGAAGAAAAAGAAAAAAAAAGGGAGCGTGACAGGACGCTCCCGATTTCGAACCCTGCTGGTCGCTGATGACCTCGGAAGCGGGCGCGGCGAGTGACAGGCGCCGTAGCCCTTGGCTTCAGCGAACGGTAGGCGCCCCTCCCCGGGTTTCGTCACACCGTAACCCCTCTTTCTCTCCTCTCCTCCTCATCTCTTCTTTCCCTGCTTGATAAGTTTTGCTTTTTTTGCGAAGCGATCTCTCGTGTATATTCGGTCTCCATGCGTCCTAACCGCGAAGGGTATATTGATTGGCTAGACTTTCGACAATGTGTCGCACGAGCCCATGGCTCGTGCATCCAATACAGAAATGACAGCAAGCCATGGCTGTGCCCCTTGTGTCGGGTTTACAAAATCCCGACCGAGGCTCGCTTTTTGGACGCCATGTCAGAAGGGTTGGAAAAGAGCCGGAAGTTTAGAAGGGTCGAGGTATGGACGAATACCGCTTTGATTGCTACTCTAGTAGGTAACCCCCTTCAGTACTTCACCAAGGAAGATCGGAGGAGGGCCAATGAAAGGGCGCAGGATTACCGCTGGAATGAGGGACGATTGGAGTAACGAAAAACGGATGGTAGTGGGAGTTGGATGGTAGTTCCGCACCCGTTCATGAGGTATTACTGGGTAAAGACAACACAAGAAGAAACGGCTGCCCATTTTGCCGTACGGATTACGGAATCGGCAATCGATAAAAATGAGTGGAATTGGTCCAATATTCGTGACGATGTGAAATTCATCGTCGCAAACTGCCAAGTCTGTGCTGCTGACAAGGCGCCAATCCAGCCGCCAAGATCGATAGTACCAACGATAGTTGAACGACCTTTCCAAAGGGTAAGCATGGATACTACCGATATCGTGGTACCTCCTGGTCCTAATAGCTGTGAATATTCAGTCCTGTTGGTATTTGTCGACCATTTTTCGAAATGGATCGAGGCCTACCCGTGTTGCATGCGGCAAGCGGCCGAAATCGCGCGGTATGTTAACCGTTTTCTCGGGATGCACCAGGACACAGAAGAGATCCTGTCCGACAACGGGGCAGAATTCAGAGGGGAAGTGTTGAGGAACCTGGTCATACACGGTGTCGCTGTGCGGAATACCGCGCCCCACATGTCGCAATCCAACGGGCTGGTAGAAAACGCCAATAGGGTGATAAAGACAGCGCTACGACGAAACATTGCGGCTCGGGATCCGAGGCCCTGGCCCGATATCGTCGATCACATCTTGGCGGTCCACTGAGGGACGCCCCACGAATCGACGGGCTTAAGCCCCTTCCAATTAAGAACCAATAGCGTCGCTTGCCTTTCGATACCGAGCCTCTCCGATGAATCAACGCTGAACCGACGGCCCACAAGGGCCACGGTTCGAGACAAGGCCAAGCGACACTTAGAGCTAATGGAACGGTCCCTCCCCAGGCTAGCCCGAAAACGCCAGAAAATGACCGAGTTGGCCCACGGCAGACAGGTCGGAAGCTACGAAGCCCGGAACGGGAACGCGGGTCCACGACCCTAGTACAAATTGGGGGACATCGTGCAGGTGAGGAAATGTGCTCGTCAGGGTAAGCTAGCGCCACGATTCTTCGGGCGATTCCACGTGATCGAGCTTGGACCGAACGGAGTGAACATCGTGCGGCTCGCGCCTGAGGTCTCCGGAAGCCGATCGGCGAGACCGATCGTTCGCCACGTGTCTTAACTCCGTCCCCTCCCTTCCTCCCCCGTCGCCTGCACCTTCATCCTCTTCCTTCGCCACGGAAGAAGATAACGATCCTCCATCACCTTCTTCCTCCCCTGCATCTTCTGCCTTTTCCTAGCCTCCGTCCCCGCCACCATCGCCATGAGCTTTCTCACGGAGCGAGCCCTCGGCGACCATCTCTTAACGCCACGGGGTTACATCTCGGTGATTCGACAGGTGTGCCATCCACGACTCAACCTGGATCTTCTACGACTGGCGCAGTTCTTCTACATCTCGGGAGTGTATGCAGCGGCTGAGTTCTTATTCGCGGGCAGTCAGGCGGTGGTACTGGCAGAAGCGGTGGCTGTCCATCGGCGATCAGCTGCGGGGATTAGCCAGGTGTCCACGGTCATCGGCTTCAGCGGCGACATCAACATGGTCAATGCGTTCCGACATACAGCCATCCGGACGTCACTGAGGAAGTGGGCGTAGCAACTGGCCACGGAGTGGAACCACTCTCTTACGCGCCCCGGGGAGAATCTTTTCCCCACGGATGGCGTCGAGCTCGAAGGGATCCGAGCATTCCAACACGAGCCAGCGGTGGTGCTGCCAGAACTCATCCCCTTCCAGCCTCCCCGATGAACCACTCCCAACTCTCCACTTTTGCCCTCCCATCTCTCTTTCCCACCTTCTGGCAATCTAGTCTCCACCCTTGTCTCTCTTTTCGCTTGGAGCTGCTCGCAGTCCCCCTTCTCGATCCTGGGCAGTGGAGACTTTGGTGCGAGCACTTCGTCGAGCTTTCGGTGTGCCTGGTCGGGGTACGAATCACGTGGACTAGGGACGAAGACCGTTGCGAGTGGAGCGAGTATTTGGAATGGCTGATTATCCAAGCCTGGAGAATGGACGTGGAGGGCGATCTTCTCGGATTCTTGTTCGGATCAGTGCGGCCCAGTCATCGCCAACCAATCGCCCTAGAGCTTACGGTCCCACTCGCGCAGCTGGCCGACGATCTCCCCCTGGAGATCATCTCGCAAAGTGATGAGAGCCCGGTCCCGCATGTCCTCACGTGGACCTTGACGCCGTATCTTCCGTGGTCAGCGTGCCCGGAGGAGCCGGGAAACGACCGCAATCCGCCATCACAGCGGGATTATCTGAGCCGTGGGAGATCATCGATCCCGCCTACTTTCGAGATTGAACGGCCACCGAAGACGAGGCAATAGCGGAGGAAGAGGAAGAAGAAGAGGAGGACGACGAGGAAGAAACTCCCGAAGAGGGGACTTACAACGAACACAGCGAAGGGGAGCAAAGTGAGGAAGAGGAAGAAGAAGAACAAGACGACGAAGAGGAGGAGCTAGAGTTGGAGGAGTCGGAGTGGGAAATCTCGGCGGAGGAAGGAGAGCAAGCGGGTGCACAGGCGGAAGACCCCGAGGCGGCACACAAGAGAGAAGAGATCGAGGCCGGAAAACGACAGCTGGATTTCGCCAACGGAGCCAATCAGCAGGTCGCTGACGATCCGGCCCGAGATCCAGAGCCGCCCAAGCCCGAGGATGGGGACCCAGCTGTCGAGACTTCGACCGCACCGACAAGGCGGCGACGAAGCCGATCCCCCTCCCCAAATGGCCTCGACCCGATGCGCCTTGCCCGACTTCTACCTCTATATCCTTCTCCTGAGCGCCGCGTGGCGAGGCCACAACATGATTGAAGTTTGCTGCATGATTATGGGGACTATCCCCGCATGCGAAAACTACAACCATTTTCGCGCGGCACTCTTCCGCACCTTCACCACCGTGTATCCAGACTATCTCGCTTCCCTCCCCCATAGTGGTAATCGCTCCCCCGTTTCCACCGGATCGTTCAATATCAAGAACTTCCGAAAACGGTGGCGAGGTTGGACAGTTTCTTGCCCCGTCTCCCGATTAACCCTCCCCCTCGTCATGCCCCCATGTACCGTCTTCCCGTCCCTCTCCCCACTGGACACTGGTGATCGGTTGATTGGTGCGCATGCCACTGCGATGACAAGTGTGATCCCCTCCTTGGATTGTCAACGGTCCTTCTGGAGGAATTAGTAGTGAGAGCTGTGTTTGCCACACTGGATGACTTCCACACTCATTCACACGGTAAGTGGCACAAAGGGAAAAGCTCCACGTATCGATCGATTAGAGAGATCGACACGTATCAACAAGCAAGCAGGAGCTTGCTAATATTGGAACCCCCTGGGTGTCACATATGTGACGAACCACTTTCTGCGCGATTGCAATGAGGGGTCCTAAGCTGGGAAGGTTGGGCCAATTACGGGAAATCGGGATCGGTGGGAAATTGCATCGGTGTATTTGATTCTTCGTCTTTTTGCGTCGTTTCTCTTCGGATGGCTGGGTTCGGAGCCGGGCGTGTCTCGGGATGATCGGTCGGGTGGTCGACTGAATGGCTGGCGCGCTGTCGTGCGAGCGAATAATAAAAGTGGCGTCGCTTCTTTTGTTTCGGTTTTGGATTTTTGGGCGTGGACATCGCCTTGGAATTCTGCTTCGTTCTTTTTGAAGTTTCCTTTTGAATTCTTTTTCGAATCTTGTCGAGCCCTGATGGCTCCTGGAATTTCGGACTTTCTTTTCGGAGTTTGTGCTTTTTGCTCTTCCGCATTAGATAGGAATTTAGGAATTTTGCAATTAGGATTTTATTCTGCCGCGCGACGCTTTTTGCTTACGCGCTTCTTTGTGCAGCTGCAACGGAACTCTGATTAGTCGGCGCCTTTAATCGGGTGTGTAACTGTAATTTTGGGCGGGCGCCATTGTAATTGTATCTTTCTTCTTGTGCTTCGTCTTTCCCACCCTTGTTCTCTTTCTTTTTGCTGCGTCTTGGTAGCTGCGGTCTGCATGATCAGATCGATGCGTGGAGAGCGGCTACGTCCCCCACGCCGCGATCTGGCCATGCAGAACATAGGTGTTCCCTCTTCTGATCTTCCTTTCCAAATCCTTGTGATTCCGTGTTCTTCGCACATGCATGCACGCTATAAATTTCGGCTGCGCGATTACTTAGCTCTCTTAACCAGCTAAGTGGAAGCTCGGGGTAGCGCGATCAGTGAGGGTCGGGTCACGAGCGAAGTAAGAGGTGATTTGAAGTGGGAGTCGGGCGACCCGATGAGCTGGTGCCAAACGCGCGGGGTTGGCGCGGGCCACAACGGACTGTGGGGGCGGGCGAACCTGACGGGTGCGGGAGGACTAAGCGGGGTGACGACTTCGTGGGTTGGTGCGCGACGACGGACTGTCCGCATCGGAGAGAGAGAGAGAGAGGAAAAGGAAGCTGAGGTTGATGGACGCGGATATGCTGTTGCTTTTATCTTTTCCCCCTCTCTGCTGGTGTATATAAATTTTGATTTCGGGTCAATGCGATTTGCCCGTTTTTTTGTTTTCGGAATCTTGGCTTGGTTTTCTTTTGCCCACACTCGTTTTTGTGGTTTCAACTGATGTTGTGTGTTATGCTGCATGAATGGATGTCGTGCCAATTTGCTTTCCCTACGCCTGATCTTTGCCTTTGCTTACCATCTTGATGCACTGATGAGTAGTGTAGGAATTTTGCGTAGTCATCAATACTGATTCCATTCTTGTTCATCCCTTGATTGAGTTGTTGTGATTGTTGCATCTTGCATACTCAGAAATTACGGAGTGATCAGATGATTCGGTAGCTGTTTACCCAGAAACCAGCGAATGCCGCGCAGGGACGCCCGTAAGTGCGATCTGATCTTCGCACTTACATGTGTCCATGCGCGTCGATTCACAACCACCCACGCATAATTGCTTGATTGGATGTGGCCATCCTGCGTCGGCAACAAAGCAATCATCCCGTGTGAACACGTGTAAGTGCAATTCGACTCGCGCGGCCTACACGTACTCGTAATCGACGAAGACACGCCCTTAGGAATTTCGCGGCTCTACGATGACATAATGACACGCTCCGGGAGCTCAGATTCGTTGTGGGACCCGGAGTACTTCACCCCTTGGATAGAAGAGTGCCTCCGACAAAGGTTCCCCTGCCTAACAGAGAATCGACTGTGTCCTAGGGAGTTTCACTGCGCCACAACCAGCGATCCCTGGTGCTCTCATTTCCCCACTTCAGACCACACCTAGTACTTTCCCCCGGTTTTGTCGTTATATGAACTAACTTCCCTCCCTTCCATCGTCTTCTCCCGTATCATCAAGTCAGGGTCGTCCCGTGGAACGCCATAGCCCCCTACTGGCCCCGCACGCCTTGCGGAAATTGTCGACGACGCGGCAACCAGAGAGCCTCGGGACCGTGAGGGCCCAACCCGAACGCTTGACGACCGGCGCCACGTGGCGACAACCGACGACCCGACTCATCGGGATCACACCCACCCCGAATGGACCTTTCGATGAATCGCCGTCCTCAAAACGGACGGATCGAGCTTGAAGGGCCTGAGCATGCCATCGGCCTTATGACTGGAAGCGGTCCGCCCTCTTTGCCAAATTGCACCCGTTCCCCCAAAAAACTTTGCCACAGGAGATCTCAGTTCCGACCTGGGATTCCACCCCCACTGTCCCAAAAATCCTTGGCATACCCCTTGTCGCACTTCCAGGTCCATACCCCACTCCGATTAGGAAGTCGCGCAGGGCGTGAGGTTGGGCGTCACAACGCCTTGCCAAGCTCGGATTGGATCACCGAGTACCAACGCTTGGCATCCACGCCCGACTTGCCGATCACCTTTACAGGCATCAAACACTACTTCATCACGAGGTCGTGCTCGACATTGCAAAATGCATCAACGCAAGTCGCGGAGACGCTCACCACAAGTGAGCTGCTATTTAACAAGGCCTCGCAGATCATAGTGACGAATACGGAAGCCCACAATGCTAGCCGTTCGTCCTCTGCACGCCAGGGCAGAGATCAGCATCAGCCGAAAGTGGCCGTGGTCACGGCAACAACGCTGAGCGACTTCGAATGAGGCTGCCTCATTTGACGAGTCCCCGTGCCCGAAACTGCAACTCAAGAACCTTGGCTTCATTACGGTTTCTCGGAAGGCTTCTACAAGATCCGCACGAGACACCATTATTGTTTGTGGTGCAATATCGATGTACACGAAACCGCCGATTGTCCCATGAAAGCCAAGGTAAACTCCCTTCTGGGAAAGTGAGCACTGCTGAGAGTGATACGATTGCACTCTCGACTCCTTCGGAATCGATTGCTTTGCGAGCGACCGCCCTTAATTTTGAGGCACACGCGGAAGTCGTAAGTCCTCCTATTCTTCATTCTTTAGAGGACTTTGCTGCCCGGCTCGTCCCATCGCTGGGTTCTCTCGCTCAAGGACAAGGTGTGTGTGCGGTTTCTTCTCTGTCCGGTAGCGGCGACAGTTTACCGTCTTCAAGTGGTTCTTCAAGGAATTCGGCATGTGAGTTCAACGTAGAGGTCTTGGACCCGTTGTCGTCTGAGGATTTTGCATGACGTCCTCTCCTTTTCACGGGCCGCTTACCGGGACCGCAATGCGCATCACTATGCGGCGGCCATTTGCACACTCATGTCCTTCTATGCACCTCCAACTTCGACGACGGGTGACGAAGTTGCGGTGGCGGACCTCCTTGCATATATATCACCAAGGTGGCCCGCGAGTTCTGCACGCAGCGGTAGGATGACAACAACGCACCACTCCTTCATGTCTGCATCCAAGTTGGGCAAGCGTCCTGCAATGCTTTGCTGGATAGCGCTGCGACTCGCAATTTCATGAGGCAGTATTTTATACAAAGGGCCGGCCTTGGCGCTCAAGTTTGAAGGAAGTCACATCGTACGACGGTCAAGATGGCGGACGATCGGACGCAACAATTGCTTGATCGCTATATCGAAGCCATACCAGTCTATTTCGCACC